GTGATATATTTGGAGAGCCCTATGAGTATCGGTCGACGAAAGAAGTCAAAAATCGGAAAAATAATTTCTTAAAAAGAAAAGAACATCCGAAGATTCATGAAAATTCAGAAAATGTTTTAAGTGATATTGGAGAGTCGTACGAGTCGCCGGAAGGAGCGAGAAAGTGAAAAAATAATTTCGGTACCAAGCAAGCTTGCCCCGGGCAAATGACCGGCAAAGGGTATCAGTGGAAAGCTCTCGAAAGAGATCTCGACGGTTCGGATGACGGCAGACGAAACTTTTCATTCATGTTTTCGCGAATGATTCGGTTCTCGTTGATCGGCCACGGTAAACAACGGACTGACATAGCCCTACCTCTCGGGTTGTACGATTGAAACCATTTACCGTCTATGCTCGTCGATGGCGGAGTCTCGGTGACCACGTGGTACACGAGGAACAAGCTCCAGAGGAGGCAGCTTCCGACGTTCTTTGCACGCATTTTGTTAACGAGAAAAAGAGGCTGGCGCGTGCTACGTGAGTGCGCGCCGACAACGCGCAGTTACAACTAAGATCAGCCTCGAACAGCGGCAAGCAAGTTCGTCGCTACTCCCACGCTTTTTCGACGAAAGTTACTATCTTCGGTGTGCACGTTCGCCGACCGCCTCCTTACTGCGTCGGGGCCACGGCAACACCACTCTCGCAAGCATGCTTTGTAGCTGGACACGACTGTTTGGATGCTGGAAGCACGTCGGAACCGCGTTTTCATTGATTAAACGAGTGACACCCGTGATTCGCGATCTCTGATTGTACCGTGCACGTATAGCGAGTTAGGAGATGTACATTTAAAATGTCGATTCTTTTATGAGCTTGTTCGATGATGTTGAACTGATATTTAACGGTTTAATTATATATAGGATATTTAATTTGATTGCTGTTTATTGAGGTTTATTGTTTTGAAAAGGGAATTAAAATTTACCGACGGAGTAATTTACTCAGTGAGTTTTTTTACTTGGTTACCGACGGAGTAAGATTTTTTGTTAGAGGTTACGACGACTTGATTAGGTTTATGTAGTTATATTTTAATAGTTTGTATTTTAATTATTATGTGGATTAATGTAGCGGATTAATTATTGGCGCGATTTTTTGGAAATGAAAGATATATGTTATGTATTGGTGTTAGTGGAAACGAATATTTAAGATACACTGAGATGCAATCTTTTAAGAAGCTGAGAATATGTAGCAGTTTCGTAATTTCTGTATTGTTAGGTGTATATAAAAATCGAGATATACCTGGAGTATTTAGGCTGAATAAATAGAATTATTTTGCGTAATAACTGTGGAACACACTCGGGCACAGACGTCACGTGTAATGAAAATTTTAGGTCCACGGTTCTGAAATACCGACGCTGTGAAAAATGCTCTGCTCGAGTGGAACGGTCATTTAGTGAACTACGTAAGATTTCAACGTAAAAAGCGGTAGATTCTTGCAAAACCATTGCAGTTATATAGTAACGAAACCATTCAAACGATTTATTTCCTTATTGTTTTTGCCTTTCATAGGCATTAAAATTCCAATAACAGATTATAGATTATTTTCTAAAATAATCATTTGTACATGAACGATGATTAAAAATATAAACATTCAATTGTATATGTCGATAAGTTATCGACAAATAAAAAATCATTAATATGAATAAAATTTGTAGTTTGATATTATTCTAATTAAATCTCTGTACGTATCTAAATTTATATACTGAAATAAAGTATATTAAAAACCATCTCCTTGTTAGTAATTATTTAAACATTAAAACATGCAGTAAATTAGGTTTTTATGATTCAATTAAATTGACTTACCCGTTCTAGTAATGTTGTCACTCTCGCTGTTTTTCTTATAATATTCAACTGTTTCTTTGAACATATACGACGAGCCACATTCGAGCGATTTGTTTTCGTGGTCGTCGGATTTTCCAATGAAACAAACTTCTCCGGCCGAGACGAGACGACTTACACAACTAATTAACAAGACATTAAACAACGCAACCGTTGCCCTTCTGTTCACCATGATCTACCTTCATTTAATTAAACTCCACTGTTAATAATTTTTACTCGACTCAATAAAGTTATCCAAATGTTTATGAGACCTTACTACCGTTTACGTTCGGTATGAATTTTATAATAAAAATTTGATTACGTTACAACAATAAAATCCAACAAAGGAAGTGTTCTATTACTTCCACCTCAGCCTACGTGTCGTTTAAAACGGTTAGCAGTATTAGGAGTTATCTGTAACCGATGATCCGCTAAAACTAAATCTATCTCGGTGGACGGTAGAATCATTTATAGGTAAAATGAAATTGGAAAGCGAAACGAATCGTAGTTTTTGTTAGAATGATTGGGCCCATCCACTGTAACAGCGTACTTGTTCCTTTTTCACTTCCTGAAGTTGTCATCCATCTTTATACATACACAGCATAGCTAAAAAATTAATGTTAATGCTACACCTTTGGCAATTCAAATCCAAATTCGAATAAAATACTGTTACATGATCATACATACATACACTATTAAATAATATCAACATGATAATATTAAGATGAATTATCTGTTACTCCTGTCCTGTCGGTTAGCTTTCCCCGGAAGATTAAAGATCTTCGAATACCTTGCAATAGTACATACCGTGAAGTGTAAAAAAAAATTGCACGCAGGGAGTAATAAGGGTTGTCGTGTATGTAGGTAATTAAGTTAGGCCGAAGAGCCGAACTAATGCCCAACAAATGGGATCAAACCTCGATTTAATACGATTACTGGGGCAGCAGGATAGACGATGCTGAGGCTTCTTTCGCGTTTCGATGGAAATTTGCTCGCCAGTATCCGCGGGACGGTGAACGTTGGCGTATCGTTTCCAGTTCCACGGTGAATTCTTGAACGGAGCCGGGACTAGTCTAGAAAATGGGGAAGGATGACGCTGAAACGGTGGCTTTAAAGAAGGAGCTGGAGGACCTGATCAACAAATGCAAGGTTGTATTAGAAACATTGTGCCAGCCTTCAATAATAAACTAAATAACAGCGAGCGATAAGAGGC